CCCCCGTCACACCACCGCCAGTGTCCCACTCCGGGCTTTCCATCCCCCATCATACCACCGGCAGTGTCCCACTCCTGGCTGCCTCACTGGCCTGATCTGGTCACTGCAGCCTCACCAGCCCGCTCTCACCGGTCCACTCTTGATCCGCCACTGTCGCTCCAGCCCACGCTTGATCTGCTGTCGCTGCAGGGCACAACCCTCGCATTCAGCTCCTGCCACGTGGTTCTCGGCCACAATCCAGCAACAATTTATATAAATGATGAACAAAAGTGGACCTTGTACGATCCCTGTGGAATACTGCTGGTCACAGGCCTCCAGTCCAAAAAATTACCCTCTACCACCACCCTGTCTTGTACCATCAAGCCAATTTTGTATACAATTGGCAAGCTCACGCTGAATCCCACATGATCTAACTTTACTAATTAGTCTACCATGTGGAACCTTATCAAAGGCTTTACTGAAGTCCAAGTTAACAATGTCTATGGCTCTGCCTTCATCAATCTTTTTGGTTACTTCCTCAAAAATTGAAACAAATTTGAGAGACACAATTTCCCTTGCACAGAACCACGCTGACGATCCTTAACCTCTCCTTGTCTCTCCACATGCATCTTCTGGCTTAGTGGCAATTCTAGAGTGGAGGATATGCCAGGCCATGAAGTTAAAAATTGAATGCAATTGTACTGCTTATATCCCATAAAGTCTCTTGGATGCCCAGTCTGAAGTTGCAACATCTGTTCAAAATCTAGACTATTCACCTCGGTGGAAAGTTACACAATACATTGAATGGCATCTTCAATCTGAAGTAGTACTTCATCTCCACAAATGGTCACTCCCAACAGTACTGCCTTGGACAGATGCATCTGCTGCAGGTAGACTGGTAAGAACAAAATCATGTAACTTTTTTTCTTCTTGTTGGCTCGGTCACCATCTAGAACAGGCCCAGTCTAGACTCTATGTCACTTAGGACTCACCAGCTCGGTTAGTAGTGGTGCTACTGAACCAAACTTGGTGATGAAGGTTTTGCACAGTCGGTGTGTCCTCCAGGTAACATTCAATTTACAGGCGAACCGATTCTTCTAAAGGGAGGGAGCGAGTTAGGTGGTAATCAGCAAGCTAACTTATTTATGTTTGTCCTGCCTCCATTAGACTTCATGGGGTCCGGAACTAATGTTGAGGACACTCATAGCAATTCCATCTGAACTGTTTATGGCTGTGCTGATACCTCTGATGGGTTGTCCTGTCAATGAACCAGGTCATACCTAGGTATGGTGATGGTGTTGTCTGGGACATTCTTTGCATGTTATGATTCTGTAAGCTTTACTACATTAGGCTGTTGCTTGAATAGTTTGTGGAACAGCTCTCCTAACTTTAGCAAGGAAAATGCTGCAGGATCAACAAATCTTGGATGCTGCAGTCAGTCCATTTCCCGCAGCCAACCAAAATTCCTTTACTTAACTGCAGCTTACCCAACTTTCAGGCTATTACTTATCCATTCCCAGTTGTTCTCTTAAATCCACACATGCTCAAACTTAATATCAGAATTTTACCAAATGTTTTAAAAATAGCACAAGCTCTCATGAGGACAAAAGATGCATATTTACAAATGTACTAATTTTCATTGATAACTTTAATGTTCCTCAGTGGTCAGAAGAAAAATACAATCTTCTTAAGAATTAACTTTTTGTCAAAAAATTGTATATAATAGGCCTTTGAAATGTCAATGGAATGTCTTAACGAATCAATTAAATTTTTACCTCATTCACTTTTCTGAGTTCATTCTGTGCTTCAAAGTTTTGTGCATCCAAGTTTAGCGCCATTTCAAAATCTGAAGTGTTAGAAGAAAATAAACTTACAAGTAGAAAATAGAATGCAAATGTTTAAGGACTGTGCAGGTTTTTAACAAATATGATGAACTTAAAATAAAAATCTGAATGGTGGCTTTAAAGAGAAAGCAAATATTACTTCAGGTCTCAAAAGATTAAACAGTGAATAGAACAGGAACAGCTTTAAGGCACTTCCAATTTTTATCAAATTTGTTGAAACATCACGAACCTTCTTTTGCACCCTGAAAGTTTTTCAATTTCATACGAGCAGCACCTCGTCGAAGGTACGCCTTCAAGAAGGATTTATCCAATGCAATTGCCAAATTACAATCTGATTCTGCAACAGCATACCTGCAGATAAGAAAAACAGATACATAAAAATGGGTCATTCCACAATTTGTTTATTAACAAAGAAATTAAAAAACTCAAAGCAAATGAGAGCAATGTGGTGATACTGCTTGCAAACGTCACTGCACTATAATTCCCTGTGTAGCAAGTTGTTAATCGATGCACAGCATTAAATGGAGGCCAGTACAGAACAAGAGTACTAAGTAGCAAAATAAAAGAAGCATCTCATCACATGTACAAGTAATCTGCAAGTCAACAACATTGAAAGAGATCTTGAAGCTGGTTAATGGAATGGTATATGGGGAGGCGTAAGAAATGGTGAGGAGAAACAAAAATACAAAAAATAAGCAACACACAAAATATAAAATTAATAATTTGCAAAATGACCAAAGGGGAAACTCAATTAGCTCAAAAGAGGAAAAAGCTTACTTGTAATGAGCTGGTCCAATAATTAAAATTGGTTATATGCATTTCTGCATTGCCTTTAGCATAATGCAAATATTGAAGCTGTTTCCAGAGGTGAAAGCAACACCAACCATTAATTGAAAAGAATGGTTTTGAAACCTGGGAAGAATTTTTAAACGAGTAAATCTTATTTTATCTACTTTTCCAACTAAATCAGTCTTTGACCCAGAAGCAGAAATAGAAATTCGTAATTTATTTAAAATGTCTGTGGGAAGTGTAACTTGTTTTAAAAATGCTTGAAAATGACTTTTAAGAGTTTGCATCAATTGTAAAGGGACAACTGCACCTCTCCAGAATAATAAGAAATACTGGTCACTATGACCTGGCAACACTTGACTGGAAGCAGTACAAACGGGAAGGAAAAAAATATATATAGAAGTCACATCAGCAAGGCACAAAGGAAAATTACAAACAGAGGGACTGGAGAGTGAAAAGATAGATGCAGACAGAGCCAAAAAGTGGAATGCAGTGAATGGAGAGAGAAAGTAAATCATTCTGAGGAAGGAGCCAGTTTCAAAGAGAGGCTGGATAGGCTGGGCCTTTTTTAACTGAACCGTAGGAAGTTGAGGGGTAACCTTGTAGGGATTTATAAAATCATGAAGGGCATAGATAAGATGAATAGCAAAAGTCTTCTCCCTTGGGTAGGGGAGTTCAAAACTAGAAGGCATATTTTTAAGGTGAGTGGAGAAAGATTTGAAAGGGACCAGAGGGTCAACTTTTACACAGAGAATGGTTTCTTTGTGGAATGACTGCCAGAAGTGGTAGATGTGGGTACAGTCACAAATTTAAAAGACGTTTGGACAGGTACATGAATAGGAAAGGTTTAGAGGAATATGGGCCAAATGCAGACAAATGGCACTAGTTTAGTTTGGGAAACTTGGTCCGCATAGCCCAGTTGGACCATTAGGTTTGTTTCCGTGCTGTATGAGTCAATGACTCTATGGCAGTAAAGGAGGCAGGTGGTTTTGGAGCCATTGCAAAAGCTGGTTAAAAAAGCTTAGAAAACTGAATAGCTCAGAGACATGAATAAGCTGGATGTTATTCCCAAACTGTGAACCAGATGTTTTTGGCTGGTCAGTTAAGGTGGTCTGGGAATCTGCACCATCAAGTTGGTCAGGATCCAAGAGGCTTAGGGCTTACACAAGTGTACCTTACTGATGATAATCATAACTGTTAAACACAGAGGTGAATGTTGTTGTCTGACAGGATTTTTGTCTTAATTCACATTAATAAAGAAAAGGATATTGAACTGTGCCATTACATAGTGCCATATTTGTGCAGGGGGTGGTGCAAACGCTTGCTGTTGCCCAAGAATGTATCGATTTTTTCAAAAGTGAAATTTACCTTTTATTTTCAAACTTAATTTTCCTGTTAATTCGTCTGTAATTACAGTGATTATATATGGACATACAAAATTAGAAACAGTCAGCCATTCAATCTCTTGAACCTGCTCTGATCTTGGATGATCCCACTGCAACCACAAATCTGCATTCCAGCTTACCCAACAACTTTTCACCCTCAAGGACTCAACTTCCACTACCTTTTCAGGTAGCATTCCAAAGACACTTAACCCTCTGAGAAAACATTTTGCAGCATCATTATGTTAAGTGGGAAATCCCCGATTCTAGATTCTCCCATAACAGGAAACATCTTCTCTACATTCAACCTATCAACATCACTAGTATCTTACATGTTTTAATCAAGTCATTTCTTACACTTCTTAACTGCAGCAGATACAAGCCTACCCCGTCGTACTATTCCTCGTAAGACAACCACCTCCACTCCGTTCCAGGTATTAGTCAAGTAAACCCCTTTTTCTGAACTCTCTCCAATGTATTTCTATCTTTTCTTAAATAAGATGATCAATACTGCACAGTATGTGAGACTTGGTCTTACTGGTGTCCTGTAAAACTGATACCAGGTTGTAATCCAACAGGTTTATTTGAAATCACGAGCTTTCACCTGACAAAGGGGCAATACTCCGAAAGCTCGTGATTTCAAATAAACCTGTTGAACTATAACCTGGAGTCATCTGACTTCTGACCTTGTCCAGCCCTGTCCAATACCGGCACCTTCACATCACTGTACAACTGAAACATAATATCCTGGCTTCTGTATTTGATTTCCCTCTTGATAAATGATAGCATTCAAACAGCTTTCTTAATTATTTGTTCCACCTGCATATTAAACTTGCACAATCTATATGCTCGAATACCTGGATCACTCTACACCTCAGAGCCCTGCAATCTTACATCACTTTGATAATATACCTCATTTTCTTTTTATTCTTCCAGCCAGAATAGACAATTTCCTGTTTTCCCACCATTATATTGCATTTGCCATGGGGGTCAGTTGGCTCGGTAGTCGGTTTGCAATGCTGCATGACACCAACAGCATGGATTCAATTGGCACACAGACTGAGATCTCCTTCAGTCTCTCTCCTTGCCTGAGGTGTGGTGACCTGCAGATGAAACCATCACCGTATTTTCTGTCTAACAAGAGCAGCTCTTAGTCTGTTAAAATTATGGCAACTTTATCTTACCTTTACTGCATTTAGAGGCAGATTCATAGACAAATACAGCACGGAAAAAGACCCTTCATTCCAACTCGCCCATGCCGACCAGACATCCTAAATAAATCTAGTCCCATTTACCAGCATTTGGCTCATATCCTTCTAAACCCTCCTTATTCATATATCCATCCAGATGCCTTGCAATTGTCCTAGCCTCCACCACTTCCTGTGGCAAGTCATTCCATTCATGCACCACCCTCTACATGAAAAAGTTGCCCCTTAGGTCCCTTTTATATCTTTCCTCTCTCACTTTAAACCTATGCCCTCTAGTTTTGGACTCCCCCACCCCAGGGAAAAGACCTATCTATGCCCCTCATGATTTTATAAACCTGTATAAGGTCACCCTTCAGCCTCTGATGCTCCAGGGAAAATAGCCCCAGACTATTCAGCCTCTCCCTATAGCTCAAATCCTTTAATGCTGGCAACATCCTCGTAAGTCTTTACTGGACCCTTCCAAGTTTCACAGCATACTTCCTATAGTAGGGAGACCAGAATTGCATGAAGTGTTCCAATAATGGTCTAACCAATAGCCTGTACAGCTGCAACGTGACCTCCCAACTCCTTTACTGAGTGCACTGACCAATAAAGGCAAGCATACCAAACACCTTTTTCACTATCCTATCTACCTGCGACTCCACTTTCAAGGAACTATGAACCTACACTCCAAGGTCTCCTTGTTTAGCAACACTCCCCGGACCTTACCATTAAGTGTATAAGTCCTGCCCTGATTTGCCTTTCCAAAATGCAGCCTCACATTTATCTAAAATGAACTCAATCTGCCACACCTCGGCAGTAGGAGACCTTCTTCACTGTCCACTACACCTCCAATTTTGGTGTCATCTGCAAAATTACTAACTATACCTCCTATCTTCACATCCAAATCATTTGTATAATGACGAAAAGCAGTGGACCCAGCACTAATTCTTGTGGCACACCATTGGTCACAGGCCTCCAGTCTGAAAAGCAACCCTCCACCACCACCCTGTCTCCTACTTTTGAGCCAGTTCTGTATCCAAATGGCTAGTTCTCCCTGTATTCCATGTGATCTAACCTTGCTAACCAGTCTACTGTGAGGAACCTTGTCGAATGAAGTCTATATAGATCACGTCAACCGCTCTGCCCTCATCAATCCCCTTTTTACTTCTTCAAAAAACTCAATCAAATTAGTGAGACACAATTTCCCACACAAAAAGCCATGTTTGACTATCCCTAATCAGTCCTTGCCCTTCCAATTACATGTAAATCCTGTCCCTCAGGATTTCCTCCAAACAACATGGCCACCACTGATGTCAGGCTCACCAGTCTAATAGCTCTCTGGCTTTTCCTTAACACCTTTCTTAAATAGTGACACCACATTAGCCAACCTCCAGTCTTCTGGCACCTCACCTGTGGCTATCAATGATACAAATATCTCAGCAATGGGTTCAGCAATGACTTCCCACCGATTTCTAGGATACACCTGATCAGGTCCCCGGGATTTATCCACCTTGACATGTTTTAAGACGTCCAGCACCACCCCCTCTGTAATATGGTCATTTCCAAGAGGTTGCTATTTATTTCCTCACGTTCTCTATCTTCCATACCTTTCTCCACAGTAAACACAGATGCAAAATACTCATTTATTATCTCCCCCATCATCTGCGGTTTCACACAAACGTGGCCTTGCTGATCTTAAGGGGCCCTATTCTCTCCCTAGTTACCCTTTTGTCCTTAATATATGTGTAGAATCCCTTTGGATTCTCCTTAACCCTATTTGCCAACGCTATCTCATGTCCCCTTTCTGCCCTCATGATTTCCCTCTGATGTATACTCCAGTTCCTTTAAACTCTTCTAAGGAACCACTCGATTTCTGCTCAGCATACCTGACATATGCTTCCTTCTTATTCTTGACCAAAACCTCAATTTTTCTAGTCATTCGCCATTCCCTACACCTACCAGTCTTGCCCTTCACCCTAACAAGAACATATTGTTTCTGGACTCATTTTTGAAGGCTTTACATTTTCCAGCCATTCTGTTATCTGCAAACATCCGTCCCCAATCAACTTTTGAAAGTTCTTGCCTAATACCGTCAAAATCGGCCTTCCTCCAATTTAGAACTTTAACTTTTAGATCCAGTCTTTCCTTTTCCATCACAAATTTAAAACGAATAGAATTATGGTCACTGGCCCCAAAGTGCTCCCCAACTGACACCTCAGTCCCCTGTCCTGCCTTATTTCCAAGAGAAGGTCAAGTTTTGCACCTTCTCTAGCAGGTACATCCACATACTGAATCAGAAAATTTTCTTAACAAATTCCTCTCCATCCAAGGCTTTAACACTAGGGCAGTCCCAAACTATGTTTGGAAAGTTAAAATCCCCTACCATAACCACCCTATTATTCTTACAGATAACTGAGATCTACTTACAAATTTGTTTCTCAATATCCCACTAACGACTGGGGGGGTCAATAGGACAATCCCAATAAAGTGATCATCCCTTTCTTATTTCTCAGTTCCACCCAAATTACTTCCTTGGACATATTCCCAGGAATATCCTCCTTAAATACAGCCATAATGTTATCCCTGATCAAAAACACCACTTCCCCTTTTCTTTTGCACCCACCGCCCCCACACCTTTCGATCCTTCCTATAGCATCTATACCCCAGAATATTAAGTTGCCAGTCCTGTCCAGCCCTTTTGGTACATCTTTGCCAACTCATTTAACCCACCTTTGTTTTTAATGTAGCTAAGCATCTTTTTCATAACTTATTTTCTTATCTATCTGTGTCATCAACAAATTTGGCAACCATGCCTTCTGTTCACTCATCCAAGTCACCAACATGAATTATAAACTGTTGAAGTCCTGACACATATTCTTGTGCCACAATGATCATTACTCTTGCAAACCTGAAAAACAGACATTTATGCACATTCTCCGGTTTCTGTCATACAGCCAATCTTCTATCTATCAATATGCCACTCCTTACATTGTAAGCTTTCATTTTCTGCAATATCTTTTGATTACCACCTTATGAAATGCCTTCTAAAAATCTAAGTACAGTAATTCACTAGTTCGGCTGTATTCTCAGCACATTGCCTCCTTAAATAACTCCAAGATTTGGTCAAACATGATTGTCATTTCACAAAAGCATTTGCCTGTGCCTGATTACTGCGACCATATCCAAGTGACCTGTTCTTACTTCTTTAAATAGTGGCTAGCATTGTCTATGTAACAAGTGTTAAGCTAACTAGCCTGTAGTTCTGATTAGTTTTAAAGTAAAATCTGCTAAAGGTGGAATGTTGTTGGTAACTTTACTCAAGGGGTCATTCAGCAAATTTGATTATTTTGGTTTAGTTTCCCTACAGGGATGACAACAATTACTCACTTCTAAAGAAGATGAGCAAAAACATGGCAGAATGGATAAGTTTTCAATGCGTATTAAAAGATGGATAGATTAATGACAAGCCAAAAGGATTCTCAAGAGTCAGAAAGAGTATCTCCTGCCACTAATAATTGACAAATATGGAAAGAAGGAAGGAAAAAATGCAAAAAAGGGACAATAATGGCCACAGCCGAAACCACACAATGTCATGTAGGGATACAGAGGTGAGTACAGTAAGGTCACGGTTTTGTTAACAAGGTCAGCAACTTGAAATAGAACATATCTGGAGATATGCATCAGGGACCTCAACAAGAGCAAAGATGATGGAAGGTGAAATTGTTCCCTGATGGATTTTGAACAACACAGTTCACATAACAGACAATGGGACAATCAGGAATGGGAAACACTAAGTAAAGGCTAGACTCAAAGACCAGGATGGGGATTTCCCCAAGTAAGTCAAGTGCAAGCAGAAAATATTGCAAGATCTCTATGCTTCAATATACTAGCAAAATCTCTCAGAAGGCAAGGATTTCAACACTGGGATTCAATACACATAGACTTAAACAACATAGAGCATGTACATTGTAAAATTTGAAAATTTTAACTATGGTTTGCAGAGGTTTATATAAACAATAAAGCATCGAGTTCATAATGTACCTAAGTATGCACTACAGCCAAACTAATTATGAACTAGTATGAAATAAAATTCAATGAAAGTTAACAAATTGCATATTATACTTATACTTCAGTAACAACAGTTCTTATTTAGGGACCAGCCACGTGGAATTTAAAACATTTCTTTAGAAATAAACTAAATGCCTTTTAAACGTGAGCAGTGATAAGAGATATATGCTTTATTACAATAAAGTCTCCGTTATCCAGAATCCTCATGCGACGAGCAATTGACAAGAGGTGGTTTTCTGGCACTGTGAACTGGTCATTTTGTTGCTCTTCTCTCTCCTATTCATCAAACTTCGCTGACAGTATTTCAGCAGTCCGGCCACAATTGGCACATTCACAAAACTGACACACCCCATTCTCTGTGCGTGCCGTATATGAACGACTTTACTATACATTGATTTTTCAGCATTTAGATTTCAGACAAGTGGCAAACGGGTGTTGGTTTATTTTTGTAAAGCAGCTAAAAAATTAATTATAAGATAGTAAGAACTGCCAATGCTGGAGTATGAGATAATAAGGTGTGGAGCTGGAGGAACACAGCAGGCCAGGTAGCATTAGAGGAGCAGGAAAGCTGGCATTTCGGGTCTGGACCTTTCTTCAGAAGAAGGCTTCTTCATTTCTGAAGAAGGGTCCAGACCCGAAACGTCAGCTTTCCTGCTCCTCTGATGCTGTCTGGCCTGCTGTGTTCCTCCAGCTCCACACCTTGTTATCTTAAAAATTAATTACGTCAGTCTTTATAGGAAAAAACTTTAAAACCATTTAAGAAAAAGTGTTATTTAAGCTTATAGTAGGTCACTTGCACGTAATCAGGTACGGTGAATGGAAGGGAAGGGATGGAAGGGAAAAAGCTACTTCAATGTAAGGCACGTATTTCACAAAAATGTCCAGATCAAGTGTGCTTGGTTCAAACACTGATTAATCAAAGCTGAGAAAGGGGCCTTTTGTGGCGCAGTAATGTCCCTAGTGGTGTCCTGAACTGAGAGGCATGGGTTCAAGTCCCACGTGCTCCAGACAAAGCTCAGTTGAGAGAGCATTTAGGAAAAAGGTTTCACAGCTCACAGGACAGGCACCTAACAGCAGTTAGGCAAACGTACTGGACAGGGAAGGAAATTTCTCTGGATTTTGATTAACTGTAAAGTAATGGTGTTGGGGAATAGATGGGATTGTGTTTTGGATTCTTTCAAAGTGTTCTATTTTAGAAAGGTTTTATTTTGAGTAATAAACCTCTGGTTCATTGTTAAAACCAAATCTGCAGCCTAGCGCATTTATGCTTTAGTGAAAGACCGCCACATTAAAATTAGAAAGAAAAATATTATCTGTCAGGCTAAATTTCATTCTGGGCTCTGACGTCTCCAGTAGTAATGTAAGCTGGGATCATAACAATATTTTTATTACTATACTTACTTTTTTAATTTTAAGAAAGTTGATGCACGATTTGTAGGGAAGACTGGGTTATATGGATCCATAGTCATGGCTCTGGTATAACATTCTATTGCTTCATCATATTTCCCTTCTTTGAAGTAATTATTACCCTGTCATGAACAAAACCAAATAAACTTATCACCAGATTCCATTTGTTCCACTCATGGGAAGATAATAATGACATCATCTCTCCCTCTGAAGCGATGACTAAACTGATCTATTCACATCCAAGTGCTAACTGCAATTTAGAATTATTGCTTTCCTTTCTGACCCGACGGGAATCAGTTTAGACTTTTCCAGCATCAAGAAATAGAAGATAGACCATAATAGATTTTAGGCAATTTTAGTTCCATTATAACTTCAAACAAAATGCAATGCCTGGAACTGTTATTCACAAACAATTCTACTATTACATCCCGTATCAAAAAATGCTTTGGGAAATCAGATTCTGTTAAAATATGATCAACACAGACAATCTTTGATACGTTATAAACAGCGAGTGTGCTCCAGAATCTAAACGTTTTCCAGTTTAATGGTTTCTGATGATGTGGAAGCTGAAAAATCACTCAATAAAACAAGAAAAACAGTCAACAAATTGTTACTTTCACTGTCCCCATTCTCTCCTGGTGCCTCTAAATGATAATCATTTAAATCTGTGAGACCACTCTGTGATAACAGGGAAACCTTCAGGAGGGCAGTGGTTTAATGGCCCAAGAAAATCTGAAGTTCAATCTAGTGACACAGGGGGTGTTAACTCAAGAACTTGGCTTTTGTTTAGCTGGTAGTTGGTGTTTTTTTTGTAATCAATCGAGGTACCAAGCAAGAGACAGTGCTGCAAAGATGCCATTAAGAGTTGAATTAAATTTAATTAGCTGGGCAGTGCATCAAAATGCATCAGCTTCCATCTTAATATATATGGCAAAATAAGCAATTGAAAGATATAGGGTGCTACTAGAGTAAAAGGAGGTATTACGGGTTAGCCGTAAGCCAAAGACTTATGAGATGTTATTACACTGTACAGAAATGACAGGAAACAGATTTTAAGCAAAATGCTTTATAACCAATATATACAATTATTGATTCTTGTCTCTCGTCTAGTATCAATTCTGATAAAATAGGGGCAGTTTATACTTGAAGAGATTTGTTGTTTGCAAACAAAGACAGCACATTATCAAAAACAGAACACTTCAGTTAACAGTTTGAGTGTGCACACTGCATGCTTGCCTCGCAAATCAGTTGAACTGCAAAACCCTTTTGTTGAAACCTGTTTTCCTGGCAGTCTTAGTTGATAGTTTGAAACTCTAAACCAGCTTTCAAAAGATCGTATTTACTTTAATTAGTATTGCATATATTGTGTCAGGTGACAAACAAGGCTCCTTGACTGTCTTTGTTTTGTGAGCATTTAAATCCTGTTGGACAATTCTGGATTATAAAATGTGTATAGTTCAAGACAGAAGTATAACGGCTGCTCATGCTCTGGGACCTCCTAACCAAAGGGCATAGATAAAATGCAAGTACATATTCAGTATTTAAATTTACAAGACAGTACCTTAATGATCATTTTGAAATAATGTTTTGGGAAGCACCACCCACTCTGATGACCAACTTTACTAGCAGGGAAAATTGCAGGGAGTAAAGTTGGAAAAAAAATACTTGTCTTTCCTACCATATCCTGCTCCTCCAGAAAATCTCAAGTGTTAAAGATCACTGACTGTCAGAATACTGCTTGGCCAAACCTTTTCTAAATTTGACTCATAAGAGGTAACACTCTCTCCTTGCAAAGGTATGTGGGCTCAAACCTCATTCTTAAATATGTAATCTGGATTGGTACTTCAGTGTTGTATGGGGGTTTTGGCTTTCAAAAGAGAATTAGACCATACCATGCCTGCATTCTGAAGTGATATCCATTGAACTATTTAAGAAAAGCAGTATAATTATGCTGTGCATCCTTGCCATCATTTAGCCCTCAAACAACACCACAATAAATGACAGATTAAAAATTATTATATTAATGCATGTGGCCGTTAAGTATAACACAATGGTGGCTACACTTCATTGTCTACAATTATATATTGAGACCTCCCAATAATTTGAAACGCCATGTACAAATGCAAGCTTGTTGCTTATTTCTAACTTACGAATTATTTGCAGGAGCAAGCAGCTTTTCAACACAAATAATACAGACCCTTTAAAAGGTTGAGTGCTGATTTGTTGTTCAAGGTTAAGTATCATATCAGCATAAAATGCAAAAAATGACCAGTATCTGGCTAAAGATAAGATTTTGTTTGGCAAATCTTTCCTGATCTATTTGGAAGAAATCAGTGATCAGACGCTTCAACCAAGAGGTATTTGCAAAGAGAACAGTTTGGTCAAATGCAAACATGAAGTCTGTGATTTTCTGTCCAGTTCCCGACCTAAACTTTGAGCAATTCATTTCTTACTAAATTTCTTTAAGCATATCTATTATATCATCCGTAGCAAATAAAGCATGAGTTTTTTTAACGGACTTTTTATCATTGTTCCCTTCCCAAAAGGGCAGAGTTTGAAGGAACTATTCATTTCATTTTAAATCTTAACAGAGTAAACCACATTAATTTATAATCCCAATTAACAATCTTTAAATTATTCCGAACATTTAACACAACATAAAGCAAACATGAGGAGATAATGGGCTAGTAGCATTATTGCTGGACTGTTAATCCAGAGACACAGGGAATATTCTGGGTACCTGGGTTTGAATCCTGCCATGGCAGATGGTGGATTCTGAACTCAATTTTTAAAAATCTGGATATCAAAAGCCTAATAATGACCATTGACAGGATCACGAAGGTCCTTTCAGGAAGGAAAGTCCCATAATTACTGGTCTAGCCTACATGGGACTCCAGAACACAACAGTGTGGTTGACTCTTAATGGGCAATAAATGCAGGCCTAGACAGCGATGCCCTCCTCCCGTGAATGAATTAAAAGAAAAAAACATGCTCGACATTAGAAACGAAATTCATTCAACAAAATTTCACTTGTCCTCATGAGATTGTTGGGAGATCTTTGTTACATACCTTTTCTTTCTCTGAAAGAGCTTTCTCTACATCTATTTCCTCATCTTCTGTGTCAGGCTCTGAAGTACTGTCATTTTTATCCAGTTCTTCCAATACTTTGTCCTAACATGAAAGGAGAAAAAAAAATGAATTTAATCAATATTTACTCCTTTCACTTTATTCCAGCTATTTATCTTTTTAAACCGCAATAACTGAAAACCAAAACATAGTTTAAAAATAAATCTCATTACATAGGAGTTTGTGGGTATTTGACATTTTATATCTTAAATTTCTTGATGTATAAATCCAAATGTTACATGACATGGTGCTGACCAAATGGGCCATGATAATTTCTGGTTTGATCCTTGGCACAGACAGAAATCGCTCCTGCCAAGAAAGCAAGAGGAGCACCACTGCTGGGCTCAGCCTTCCAGCATTGTTGGATATGGAAAATGGGGGAAGATAAAACGAAACCACAAAGTTCATTTCCCGTCTATGGCGTAGAGTCTTCGAAAAGGTTCCACCTTGGTGATAAGCAGAGCTTTTTCCCCAATGTGATTCACCCATCATTCAGTCCCTGGACTGAGAACAAAGGGTTATAATCTCAAAGATCCTGTTCAACAAGACGTAAAGGTGTTCTGATGGACCATGTCATTTATCAGGAGTCACAGGATGAATGTTAAATGTAGCTTTAGTCTCAGAAAGTGTAAAAAATAAAAAGTATTTGCAATCAAAGGGAGAAGTGAATTGCAAATTCTGTAAACGAAAGATCCAAACTATAATATCTTTGCTGCTTATTATGTAATATTTATTCTATAGTTTAAACAAATACAATAAATGTAATAAAAGTTGTCTGCTACATAATCTATCCTATTGCACATTAAAGGGGACCATTTCCATGAAAGACAAATGCAAAACAAATAAAATATTGGCAAACATGAAATAACATGAAATTATAACACTGACAAATGCATATTGAAAACTTACCACATCAAATTTTTCCCAAGACTTATAGTCATAAGACTTTATCCTTGTTGCTTTATTTTCTTTGTTCTTTTTATTGTTTTGAGAAACAGTCTTTTTATTTGTTCTTTTCTTGAAATTCCGATTTCTTACAGGCGGTAAACTCTGTAAATTTTAGAAGTGTGATAAGCCATATTAAACCAAATATACAAACTACTTATTTTCATATTTATAATTTTAAATGGATACAATTCTGTTTTGATTTCACATTGAAATATATGTACCATATAACTCATCAATTGAAAGAACAAACAATCCTACAGCTATTCTCCAACCTGTTAAATCCAATTTAGATACCAGCAACCACACACACACACACACACACACACACACACACACACACACACACACGGTTCCTGAGAAGGGGATGAAGCTGGGGAAAGTGTTTCCAAGAAGGAGACAGGGAAGCAGAACGGGTTTGGGAGAAGCAGAGGATGGAGTGTTCCTGAAAAAGGGATGGTGACAGGGATACAGTGAGTTCCAGGGAATGGGACAGAGAAGTGGTTTCAAGAAAGGGATTTGACAGTCGGGGGGAGAATCCTGGGAAAAGGGATGGAAGATGGTGTTCTTTCAGAAAGGAATCGGGGGGGTGCAGGGGTCCTGGAGAAAGGGAATTGGGGGTGGGGG